AGGAACCACAGACGCCCTCCCGGGTTGGTCAATGTGTGGATCCCACGTTCCTGCTCACCAATTTACAGGTTTGTGGGTGTAGATCTGTGGCATCCTGCAGATGGTGTAGGTGCCTCTACTGTATTTCAGGTCCTGGATGCATCTTTCCTCAAAGAAATCTCCCAAAAGAGCTCTTCAGGCAACTTTTGTTCCAATTCTCAATTTTTTCAGCTTATAACTTTAAAAAATGGAGAATTGTAGAGTTATTTTTTATTATTTACTTACTCACTTAATTGCTGGTTATTAGTTATAGTGACCAGTTTGACATAAACCAAGCATAAAAATGCAACAGCTTCAGAAAGTTCAACATGAATCATATTGCAAAATGTTTGTTTATTTATTAAATGAGGAATTGATTATAGTAGGCGAAGTGAATTTTGTTGTGTCATTCAGACCTTGCATGCTCTCAGTGCTGGGCCCAGAGGTGCCATGAGACCCAGGCCAAGCGAGACAGTCCTACGCTTGGGTGCCTGAGGTTGACTTAACTTTATTTATTAGATTGTGTTTCCGATATCAGCGAGAAATGCACCCTGCTGCAATGCTTATGTTTAATTTATACAAATTCACTAGATTTTATAAAGTGTGGGATCTAGCATGACGTCAGAGTAGATTTGAAATAGACTCTTACTAAGAGTTGCATTAAAGTAAAAATGGGATCTTTACTTATTAGAAAGAAAAAAATCCCTTGTTCATTTTTTCTCTCCTGGTGAGACAACTGAGACATCTTAAAGGTAGAGTTTTGCTACCCCTGTAATGTTTGCAGGATCAAAAGTGGTGTGCTCCATAGTTTTTCCATGGCGTGCACAACCCAAATTCATGTCCCTGGCTGCTGCTCCTGAGCACTGTCTTGCTGCACGTGCAGGAGAGGAGTTGCACATGGAACATGCAGTTGCAGCTGCTGTGATCTTCAAGCATGGTATTGTGGTCATTATATACAGTGCATCACTGCAGCATTGGGGTGCTGTGAGGGAATAAATCCTGCCCTGGGCAGCCCAGGCAGACAGCCAGCGTTGCTTCACGCTTGGGTTAAGACTTCTGGTGACTTTGTTTCTCCATCGGTAGAGATGAAGCCTTATTTCAGAGGTGTTACACAATTTAACATCTGAGGAAAATGATCCGCATCCTCTCTCGAATCCTGCAGTTTGCTATATCTGGGCACTGTAAGTAGCAATGTGCAGGTAAACTGGGGAGGCAGCTGAAACACAGCCGGATTTATGCTGGAAGACTCAAATGTCTGCCAGTTTTGGCTTTGTGGAGGATGCTGAGGATGGGGCTCACTTTGTCTAACTTGGATGCTCACAGCGTCAGTGCCGCTGCCTGTGCTAGTCACGCTGTGCCCCAGCTAGTCCATAAGAAGGAGGAAATAGATTGGTAGCTGTTAATGAAACACACTTGACAGCTACTGAAATGTGGGCACCTTCATGCCTTGGTTTGCAAGGCATCCTGCTGTCTCATACTGCTGCTCTGACCTAACTTCATTTTTATGAAGGAAAGTGAAAAAGCACATTGTAGGCACTTCTAAATAAGCACAACCTCTCTGAATAAGACTGCAGTCCAAAGTTGTTGAATTCTAACTGTGTGTTGAAACATGACGAGGGTTCATAGTTTCACACCTGTTTTGAAATGAGATAAGCAACATGCACCTAAATTTTTACAACAGCACAGTGAAAGGGAATTCATTGGAGAGTGACAACTGTCAAAACCTCGCAGAATCTGCTCTTTCCTACACTTGGCCTGTCCTGCTACTGGGTGGGCTCTGACTGCAGCAGTTTCTTGTGCAGGATCAGAGCAGTGTTTTTTCTGCTTCGTAATTATTTGCACGTTAATAATTAGTTCATTGGTTTACTCCATAAGCAAGACCAAATCCTCCTGAAGTGGATGTGGCAAGGTGCTCATGTTACTGTCTCCATGGGACCCCACAGACCTCTCCGTGATCACCTCCGCTGAGGAGGCTGGTGTCTCACAGTTCCAGAAATGCACACTTGCCCTGCTAGAAGGACAGGAGAGAACACTTTAGTCAGGGTGAGAATGAGATGTTGTGGTGGTGCAACCCACCCTTCCTTAGGCCACTTGGTGCTTCGTGCAATTTCCCTCAGCCCCGGGCCACATAGCAACCTAACATAAGTCAGGCATAAATTGTGACAGGTAATGGACCAGAAAATTACAGCAACCCCTTAACGCGCCTGGCCCCCCCATCCCCTATTGCTTGGAAATGGTATCAGTAATCGATCACCCCCTTGACAGTACCTGGATCATAGCCCAAAGGGCCAGAACTTAAAGATCTAGCAAGTTCTGGGTCTGCACAGCTGGTGGAAAGTACCAGAATATCCCATTATCTGAGTTGAACCAGAGTGGAAAAGTAACTGACGAAAGTCAATTATCTCAGGCCCTATAAATAGTGGTCCTAGTGAGACCCTTTGTGCTCTCCTGGATCACAGCAGACTGTGACCAGAATCTCCCCTGAGTTGGGACACCACTCAGGCAAACAGCTCGAGGTTTAAAGGGCCAGGGCAAGTTAACCTTCTCAAGGCTCAATTGTCGCCCGTTCAGGAATGACTGGCTCCAAATATTTTTGTCTCTGCACGTGTAGTCGAAAGGGGCACCTGTCAGCTCACTGGAGTCGCCCACTGCGAAGGGACTTTGGTCCTGGCAGTTAAAGACTCAGGTGGTGTGTGTGCAGCTCCTTGAATGGTGTGTGTTTGTATGTTTTGTGTTTACACATATGTACAGTCATACATTTTGATTTAGGATTCCCTCTAGTAAATTAGTGTGAATCTTGTCATTCTAAAATCCGTAATTAAGTCACTGTTTTAATTATAACATATTCTACTGAATCACCTTGTTAATCGTTAAATTGGCTAATCAACGATGGGCTAGTCTCTCTCATCCACCTCCTACCTATCTATGTGCCTGAATATACACATTAGCCTTCAGGAGTGTGAGTGTCTTTATATTTTACTGGCTCCAAATATTTTTGTCTCTGCACGTGTAGTCGAAAGGGGCACCTGTCAGCTCACTGGAGTCGCCCACTGCGAAGGGACTTTGGTCCTGGCAGTTAAAGACTCAGGTGGTGTGTGTGCAGCTCCTTGAATGGTGTGTGTTTGTATGTTTTGTGTTTACACATATGTACAGTCATACATTTTGATTTAGGATTCCCTCTAGTAAATTAGTGTGAATCTTGTCATTCTAAAATCCGTAATTAAGTCACTGTTTTAATTATAACATATTCTACTGAATCACCTTGTTAATCGTTAAATTGGTTAATGATTAAGTGCTGCTAAAATTCAACCTTTTGATCTACCTGCAACCATTAATAAATCTTAAGTTGTTGCTAAATCATAACTGTGTCAAATATTTTCATTTGCAACACATGTGCACGGCAATATCTCTATGAGTTGGTGAAAAATCTGTGGGAGAATATCCTCAGAATAAAAGATCCACTTGTAAGACTGCTTAGCAATGTGATTTCAGTAGCTCTGTTGTGTCGCTTACTCTCCAATAAAAACAAAAATCAAGAGTTAGTATTTACTATTGTCATTAAACATGGCTTTTCTTTCAGGTATTAGCAATGCAGAAGCCCGTCAGCCAGGGAAAGCACCAAACTTCAGTGTGAACTGGACAGTAGGAGACACTGGTCTTGAAGTTATTAATGCTACAACCGGAAAAGATGAAATGGGTCGTGCATCTCGCCTTTGTAAGCATGCTTTTTACAGCCGCTGGATGCGTATTCATGCAAAGGTATATCTTCCACTAGCTTTTCCACTTCTTCTTGATTCTTGATGAAATACCTGTGCATGCTGCTTTCTGTATTCGGAAGCCATTTTCTGAGCCTGTTTTAAGCTGAGCCTGACATTAGGTACAGCTCCATGTAGTAATGGAAAAGAACTATGCGTTTGTTTAGCTTATTCTCTAATTTGATGATGTCTGGTCCAAAATGCACGCAAGGATCTAATAATCCTTGGTTTATAGCTAAGTAAACAAAGGGTGCTATCTCTTTTCAGCTTGTCTTCTCATTTTAATTTATTTGGAAGAATAATCCCAGTTTCACTGCAGTCAAACCGACTGAAGTTTCACTCCGTCCTCTCAGAAAGAAAAGCTACAAGAAAGTATCTGTCAGTGGCTTTTCAGTGTCTAGATTTCTTCCACTGAAGGAACTTGATAATCCAGACAAAGCAAAAGGCAGGCTAGCTGGGGTGAGACGAGTCCCAAGAGTGCTTCTGCCAGGACATGGCATGGCAGTGCAGAAGGGCTCACTTTGCAAGAGGCAAACGTTAGAGTTGGGTGCAGTGAGCTGGGTATGGAGCTGTGATGGCTAGAAGGAGCAGTACTGTGTACTCATCTTTGCCTGAACATTTGGTTTAGTAGTTAATTACCCTGTTTTAATAGTAGTTGGTTTAATAACTCAGTCATTCTCAAACTGCTTGGTTTAATAGTTTCTTGTCTCTCTTCTTTTCTTGTCTTTAATCCACACAGCTTTCTTCCAGCTTGCGCTCAAAGATCCTCAAGCCTAACCTGTACCATGAAACCAAGCAAGGAGCCACTGAGTATCAAACTGCCAAAGAGTGTTTGTTTAAAGCATTCCTGAAGGCAGGACTTGGAGCCTGGGTGGAGAAGCCCATAGAACAGGATCAGTTTTCTCTCACAGTCTAATTCACAGACTACACATCACTTTGGAAAGGGGGTTGTTCTGGAAATTCCTGGTGTCCAGCACTACTTTCTGGCGTCTCCACAGCTGTCAAAACATCTTTTTACTGTTTGGAGTTAATTTTTTTCCTTTGTTTTTTTGAAACGTAATAGTAACTATTTCAGTTTTGCCTAAGTATTGAAACTCAATGATGATCTGACACATAATTGTATATTTTGTTATGGGAAAGTAATTTCTGGTGTATTTCTAGAAATACTTTTACTGTAGAAAACTTGCAGTAAGGCTGTCCTTACAGTATAAAATGACTCATTTTTTCTGGGTTAAAATAGTTCCTTTTTTTATTTGAATGTCATCAAGTGCATGAAGAAATGAAAGTTTCTTTAGGTTTTACATCACACTTTTAGGAAGTAACTTAATATTTCTAAAAGAAAATAGGTGACAAAGCTGATTCTACTCCTCTGTTAACTTGTTTTTGAACTGCAGATATTTCTAGCATACAGACCACAGAGCCAGAATGGAGTCTGGACAGCTAGTTTTTCCCCACTTCCTTGCTCTTTAAAACCAGCTGCTGAAAATGTCATGTCTTTGATGTATGTATTTATTAGTATGTGACCCAGTTTTTAACATGCAGCTTTTTATTCTGTTTTTAAATATACATTTACCTCCCATTTACACACATTGTGAAGTCTTTGGTTTTTTTACCATTGTAAACTGGAAACAGCAAAATAATTATTTATAAGTTAAGAAAGTTAGTTTATAATGTGCAGAAACTTGTTTAGAAGTAGGTGATTTGTATATCCCAAGAACTCATCAGAATACAATCGTAACTGTAACAGTAATATGACAACTTCAAAAAAAAAAGTTGCTCATTTTAAGGGCACTAAGCCTGAATTGCTAAAAACAGTCACTTGCTGGGTATTAATTGCTCTCCTTTCAAAGAAATGAAAAGCTTTTGTACAGACAAAAAGTTGTTAAAACTTCTTCCCTGTGACTTATATCTGCTCTCACCCAAGTTGTTGTGTCTCCGAGATTTCATTGCCTTTTGGCTTTACACGTGTGATAGTCTTCATGAAGCTAATTAGGTAAGTTGGTCTCAAATGTGCTTTCATTTGTGTTGATGTTTACTTAGAAAGGTGTTTTTTTCCTAAAGGTGTAGACACTTCTGCTTTACGTAAAAATGTAAGATAGAAGGGAAATATTGTGAGATCAGGTTGATTAACTGGTGTATAGAAGGCACTTTTAAAAAACACTTTTTAGTACATAACAGTTAGGAGCAGATGAGACAATGTACAGCATTGCTTCTCTGCTCACATAGCATGTGTCCAACACATCCCTTGGCTCATGCCCATCCAGGTAACACCTGTGCTTTCCGAAGAGCATTTCAGAGATCCTCTGTGTTCCCATTGCAAATGGTGAAGGTGATGGTTTGTGACATGGGAGTTTTCCTGACAAATCCAAATCGGTGCACCATTGCTCTGGCTGTTGGTTCCTGTCCCTCTGCTCCACCACCCCTTGCCTGTGCCACACATAACATCAGATCAGCAGGCTGGTCCATGCTTTGAAGTCAAGTCAAGGGTTACTTTTAGACCCATGCTGGGTGAGAGATCCAGTTTACAGTTGTGCCAGCACATCTGCAGAGGCAGTGGAGTGGAGCGTGAAAGTCCCTTCAGGCAGCTTCATGGCCAAAGCCTGTGTATCATGAAGCTGTAACTGGAATTATTATACCTAAGCACCAGCATCTTTGGGGTGTTAGCAAATACTTGGGGTGTTGGAGACTTTGATGTAAAACCACTTCTGGCCAATCATGAATGCCAAGGAAAAGTACTGCTTTGTTATTGCTCAAGTAGGAACCTGTTTTCAACTTCAAAAAATAATCAAGCCTGAAAATCACTTGTTCATTAGTTGAAACCTCTGGGTTAGTGTCTTGGAAGTAATGCATTGAGGTGCAAACAGTGCATTTTTGGCAGTATTGTAGATAATAGCAAGTACCGCAAGCAATTCTGTGGCCTAGTGGTCCCCTCGGAAGAGACTCTGATGCTTTCAGAGGTTACTGCCTTTTTGAGACACCAGAGGAACAAATGTTGCAAGCTGCAATAGACTGGCTGTGTTAATTCAGCTTTGTTGGTGTCTTAAGCCATCCTGTCTGCTTCTCATTAAAACCAAGAGTCCTCCCATAACCTCTACCAGCCTGACAAGTCTTTTGCAGTCATCATCCAACTGAGGCTTAGACTGACCTATTCTAAAACTAAAAGGAATTTAATTCCATGTGGTCAGATTTTGCAAGCAGTCAGGCATCTGCCTTTGACATCAACCTTGTCATGTTCATGTTGCAGAAATTCTGTTGTGGCTATAGTTGAGTACATGTGTACCTTTCTGCAGGATCAAAGGAACGCTGGTCACACCATGTGCATTCTCTTGAGATCATTACTGCTATTAGATGAAATAAACATTTTTAAGGGGTTCAGTCTATTGATAAATGAAGTCTTTTGAGAATTTCCAGCAAGTTATTTTTACCCATCTTTCTGAAGTGTTCATTCAAAAGTTGCTGTCTCTCTGGATTTTTTGGACGACTAGGAAAGTATTAGCTCAAACTATTTTTTTTTATTAAGTCACAAATATGAGCAATATATTTAAGTATTATTATAGACATAGTTTTTTAAGCTATCCAAATGAAAAATTAAAATTAAAGGAAATATGTTCCATGCCAAAACCTTTTGACAAAGGAATGATGTCAGGTTATTTATAAGGAATGAGTTTTCTTGTTTATAATTCCGGGATTTTAAAAAGTAAGAAGTTTTCCAGGGTTGTGTGCAATCCGTATCTGTCCTTGGGGAGTCAATAAAATACTGCTTGGCTTCCGTCACTGGCTTGTTCCTTTTTGTGCAGTTAATACGTGGAAAGAAGTTGGGGGGCAGAGTTGTGATTGGTGATGCTCCCATGTTCCTCACAAATCACTGTCACTGAACATGAATGGATAGTGATGTATGTAATTTCAAGCAATTGCAAAAGATAAGACAACTCAGCTTCCAGTAACTGCTGAATATTGTGGCTGACCTTTCTGTTGGGAGCTGCAAGTCTCCCCAGCGGGTTGGGAGGCTGAGAGGTCTTGTCTGAAAAGTGTGGGCTGGGTGGATGGGAACTGGCCTGCACAGGGACTTGGAATGCTGCTCTGGGAGCTGCTTCAGTTCTTTTAATTAGTTTTTTTTCCTGATTTTTGATTGAATATGGGTGTTTGTCTCAGGATCTTCAAAGAACTTAAAGAGTAACAACTTTAATGCTGATGAATACTTGAAATCTAATTTAAGGGTGTTTTCTCCAGATGACCGTCTAACTAGAATAAGTTTTGTAGGTTAGTAAAACAGATAATTTTAAATATAGATGTTTGAAATATATATGTTCTGCAGGATTGTTTTAAGAAAATTTGGGCCTAAAGGTTAACACTTGAAATATTGGTTATGGCTGTACTCAGGAACTGGTAATAACTATTGATTATTTCTTACTGCTTGTGTGTGAAGCATATCGTGTGTAGAAGTTTGTTAGCAACTGTTCTCCCCCAACGTCATGGATATCCACGTAGCTCTCACGCTTGCGGCCTCCGCTTCCCTTTTGTAGCAAGTGATGGTAATCATGACTCTGCGTACTTAGCAGTGTACACCAGCAGGGTTTCTGTACAGTTGGCAATTTTGATCTTCTCATCTTAGAGAAATCTTTTCACAACTGGTTACTGCATAGGAAACTTAGGAGTGGAGTATTTGTGTGTGCTATTACTGTGTACATCTTCTAAGTCTAAAATAACTGCTGAAAGTCTAAGGGTCTCAGAGCCAGTGTTGCATGTCATCAGTCCAGTTCTGTGATGCCTAAGAGTGCCATCTACCCAAGGGAAAAAACAAATCTAATCCTGCTCTCTCAGTGAAAACATGTGTGAAATAGAGCTCTTGGTTCAGAGTGCTTGGTAGCACAAAGCAGAGCATGTGTCTCATGGAAGAGTAGTGCCACCTTTTGAAACCAAGCTGTCTTTCAAAAACAAAAACAAAAACACACCAGGAGTTGAGGATCAATTCTAAGAATTGCTCAGTCACGGTCACCACGTAATTGAGATTTCTTTTAAAAAATATCAATGGTTTTCTAAATCGCTAAGATTATTATTGCCATTCCTTAAATAAAGCTTTAATCTTGGAAGGGTCATGCTTGCAGAGAAGCTGCACTTTGAATTCTTTGCATTTTTATCATCATAAACTGTGCACTGTGAAAATTATCCCAAAGTTTACTGAAAAGGAAGAAGACCTGCAATGCGGGTATACAGTCAGAACAAAAATGTATACTGTCATTTAAAACATGAAAACCCACAAAAATAAAATGTATAAAATATTGCCATGTGGTTTTTATTTTGGGTTTTTTTTTTTTTCTAATACTGGGTGATTTCAGTTGAGTTTAAAAGATTATGTCTTTGCTTAGCATGCTCCTGTTTGGAGAGGAGTTGACATTTATCCCAGGGTTACCTAGAACTAACAGAGGCACAGGTTTTTGCAGGGACATGAGGTGGATTTAGGAAGGGACACTAGACTTGGTGCTGCGGGGCCAGGAGGGCGCTGGTGCAGGGGCAGGTCCCTGCTGCACCCTGGTGTGGTGGCCTGTGTTTTCTCCTTGTCCTGCTGGTGGCTCAGTGGAAACCACTGTTGGGTTGGTCTGATGTGCCAAGTCAAGATCTGACAGAAGCAGGAGAAGGAGAGAGAAATTGAAATTGCTGCTTTCTCTAGTTCCTAAAGCAGAAATGATGGCATGGGGTGGGATTTCTGCTCCTTCCTGCTCTCCACTGGAGAGGCCCTTGGGCAGCAGACAGGAAGCATGGGCCAAGCAAGTTGTCCACTCAGCATCAGGAGCTTCCCAGCCTTTCCCAGAGACCTCCCAGCACAGGCGGGCTCAAGCTGTGTGAAAATCTGAGGCTTTTAGGGTGCATTGGGCTTGCTGCCATTCCTTTATGGAAACAACCGGTCCAGAGCAGTTGCAACAATTTTGGATTGACCCCCAAGGAAGAAGGTTGGTGGGTCTTTGTGGCAGACAGGTTGGATGTTTACAGTCACAGGATGTGTGGTGTTTCATCATTAGGCAGGTGTTTGTCCCTAAAACACACCCAGGTGGATAAAATTAAGGTCCAGTTTTCCCTAAGTATTTCCGCTAGCATCATGTGCCTAAGCTGTTACAGGGCTTCTGACAAAACTTTTTCTTTCATTGTTCCTGTTGAGCTGATTGTGGTAGGAATGATGCAAACCAATGGGGGTTGCAATAAAAAAAAAGAAAAAAAAAAAAGAAACTGTGGCTGAAATCCTGAACCTGTCAGAGCTGGTGTGGTAGGAATGATGCAAACCAATGGGGGTTGCAATAAAAAAAAAGAAAAAAAAAAAAAGAAACTGTGGCTGAAATCCTGAACCTGTCAGAGCTGGTGGAGAGCTGATAGAACCTGAGTTTCTCCTTGGATCATGTCAGTGTACGGTGTTTTTCAGAACCTTTGCAGCCAAAGGTCTGTCCCATTGCCTGCTAAAAAGTGGGCCGCTAATCGTGCCAATATCATTTGCATGTGCAGGAATGAGTTTTATCGGTAGCTACGTTTTGTTTTCTTCAATCATTCCAGAAAAGAGCCATGTTTTCTGTCCGTACTGAGGGCAGCTGGCCTC